GTGCTCGAGACAGGCACGAACCTGGCACGATCAGCGCCCCTGATTGCGCTTCCGCAAGTGTCCATGCACCGGGAGCGGTAAGCGACCGACAGGCGCACCCAGCATCTTACATTTGTATAGAGACACGATTTCTGGCATCTTTGTACCGCCGCATGGCCATATCTTGTCTGCAGATGGACGCCGATAACTCGGCGCGGACCACCGAAATGGCGCCCCCAAAAGTTATGTTCAAGTTGGTCCACCTCCAACTTCAAGGATGAATTCCGGATACATGCACGAGTTACGGATACAAGTCACATTCGAGCGAGATGGCCCTGCGCCGCAGCTGGCACCGGCCGGCCCTCGGGGCTCGGTAAGTTGCGCTACGCTAACGCGGCTCATGCTGGCTCTACTAGCGGCTTCTTTGACAAAGTTGGTCGCGACTGGGAGACCGCGTGGACACAGCAGGTCACGCCGTGGGAGCTTCAGGGCGTGAACCCGTCCTTCGTCGAGGGCCTTGCCCACGTCGAGAAGCGAGGCGGCCGCGCCCTCGTGCCCGGCTGTGGCTCTGGCTATGACATTCTACATCTGCAAAAGCAGGGCTGGGCGGCGACAGGCCTCGATATCTCGCCGACGGCCGTCGCCAAAGCCCGCGCCGTCGTTGGCGACAACGTCCGCGTCACCGACTTCTTCAATTACAGCGAGCCCGAGCCGTTTGACTTGGTGTACGACTACCTCTTCTTTGCTGCGATCGAGCCAGAGATGCGCGGTCGCGCTGCTGCGCAGTTCAAAGCCCTTTTGCACCCGACATCCGGCGTACTCCTCACGCTGCTCTTCCCGTATGTGGCCGAGCATGGTGCGATGCGAAAAGCCGGACCGCCCTACGAGCTCTCGCTCCAAGACTACAAGGCTATTCTGGAGCCGGCGGGCTTGACGCTGCAAGCGACGATCGAGCCTTCGAATAGCATCAAGCCTCGTCGCGGTCGAGAGCTCCTCGCGATTTGGGGCTGCACCGTAACAGCGTCGTAGCCAGACGCGATAGCAAAGATGTTACGCCACGGGCGACGCAACATTAGACGCAACACGACCCTTTGGAGGTCAAGTCTCTCATCTGTGTTCAAATTTCGACGCCAAAGGAGTTATATTCAACGGGGCTCACGTAGTCAGGTACTAGTACCAACACCACGCAACACGCTCGTATCAGTGGTCATGCTCGTGTCCAGATCTGGCCACTCTTAGATGTTAAATGAATCGCGCGGAGTCCGACATCGTGCTCAAGCCTCTTTACCCCAAACTGTCGGTTTTTGGGACAACATTGTTTGGCCGAAGCTGGCAATCGACAAGGTGCCATCTCATCGAGATGGCTACAACGTGGAGGGAGACCAAGGACCCAAATGCCCCTATGCACAAAACGTCACCAGCGTGCAGAGATACCATTCTGTACGGTACCATGAGAAGCGTTATTCGCATGCAAAAGTTGTTGCTATCATATCAAGCAATCGGCGCTGATCTTGGATGCTAACCAGCCGTCCAAGTGGCTAAGCTACGCCCTTGCCTTTGCTTGGTATCGATTGTATTGTAGGTCGGAGAGCAACGTCTTCGTGTTTGTGGGATTTGGTTGGGTTCGAGCGAATCATTCCGCGCTGCAAGAGAAACTTGGTTGGGACCGAGCGCTACACACGTAATGAAGGAGCTGAAGAGCTCGCAAAAACGTCCGTGGTGGCACCTTGTAATCGTTTGTTTCGTGGGTCGTTTTCGGTACTTGACCTATCCCCCAACAGTACACTTTGCCGAAGGAACGCGGCAGCGCACGCTAGGCTGTCGTGCGCGGTGGTCATCCGCGATCACATTGGAGCTGCCGACTTACTCCCATTGCAAATTTTTGTTGACGCCGTAGTGCATCCATTAGCGATGAAGCTAGTCGATGGGACAGTATTATCTCCGTCGATGTTGATGTTGGCCTATCAGTTTCACTGATCGGACTCTTGGGTGGGCGCACACTGCAAGCTCACACATTTTTGAAGCCAAATGCTCGCACAGCCGATATACAATGGCTCGAGAAGAAGAGGCATTCTCGCGCCTCGGTTGGCATCGGGAAGTGACTTGCCTAGGCCAATATATCTGCATGGTTGACGTGCTGTGTGCTGATTGGCTTTAATTCTTGTATCAAGCTCAATTGACCCAATCACCGCGCGGTTCGAAACGTACAGCAACGCCACGAATCGGCCGCCACGTTGAGTTGCAGATAAAACTGGTCCCCATCAGCTCGTGTGATAGCCGCATGGGTGCTTGTAAGTTTAGTATTCATCACATTTTCTTAATTACATCATCCCGCGACACCGACGCCAGTCGATGCATTCTCCGCCACTTGCGGTACAGCAGTGGCAGCGAGTGGGTTACCACACATAAGGTTCCTACCAGAGTACCGGTACCAGAGTACAGGTAGTCGGATCCTTTGTTGTGGAGATGAGCAAGGGTCCAGTGACACCACAAGTTGCTGTTGGCAGTCTCACATGTAACAACTCAGCACTCACTGAACGGAATGATAAGCATTTCAATCGCCAGCTCTTTCAGCATTCGGGCGAGGTTCGTACCATCAGAGTATAGTCTACAACTCGTATTCATCCTAAGTATGCAACAAAATGGTTTTTCGCTCTGTATGAATGGTGAGGGAACAGCTACAGCCGTGGCAAAGTCGACCGAAGTGGGCGGTCGACTCGGTGCTGGGAAAACCGATCGACGATGGAGCCCTGGCACCTACATACGAGTAGAATTGGTCACGGAAGTACGACCTTGTAGCCACCTCTCTACGCCTTGTTTTGTACTGGCAAAGCCACCAGAAACGTGGAATGGTTGCAGTACGCTCCACCACGACATGTTAAAAGTTAGGGTCTACACTACGCGAGTCGACTTACGTCAGCACCGCCCATCGTGGTCGATGATCGAGAGGTAGAGGTCGTCGCCGTTGTTGGGGAAGAGAACTGTACGTGCTTCGACACTCGGGGTGCTTCCGTACTCCATGCGCAGAGCTTCGAGCGTGACGTCCGGTGACTTCATCGAGACGGGGCGGCGCCGACGCTCGGAGACGGGAGGCTCGATCAGCTGGAGGAGGTTTTCCCGCATCGTGCACGGGTGGTACTGCCGACTTTGCTTGGGATCGACGATAGTGCTCTCAAAGTCATCTTCAAAGAGCGACGATGCGCCCTCCACCTCGGCACTTGGGTGTGTGAACGGACTGCGAAGTGTATACTCGACCATGGAGCCGACGCACGCATTGCAGACGCGCTTCGTGGGCTCGGCCGTACAGCTCTGCGTGCAGTGACGGCAAAAGATCTACACCGGCACAGTAAATGAATGAGTACACTGCAGTCGATCAAGACAAGACACTTACCTCGCCGCAGATGGCGCAGTTGTGTTTGCGGTGCCATTGCCGAAAGAACGTTTGAAAGCTTTTGTGGCAGCCGGCGCAGTGACTGCGGCTCTCACGCTGGACCTTGACCTAGTGCATTGGTTCACTATTGGAGCCACACAAGGCAGGTATGGAGTACCTCGGTGGGATGACCGTGTTTGAGTCGCGACACTTGAATCGAGCGGTGGATCGTTTGGAGTCGCGCCGCGCGCTGACGCACAATGCGCGTATGCAGAAAAGACGGCACGCGCCCTTTTAGATCCATGTCGACGATCGCACGCACTTCGAGGACGCTGTGGACGGAGGTTTCCATCACCACAAACCTAACGACGTCTAAGCCCAAAATGCAAAAAATGGAAAAAAAATCGAACCCCGAGTTGTACAGGGAGCCGCGGACAAGGCCGATTGAGCCTTCCATGTCGGGGCACGCTTCATGGAGGCGGATCGAGTGCTGGGAAATGACAAACGCGCGGGCCCCCGTCGGCAAGAGCACGGTATCGTGGACCTCGAGGAGGCAAAAGTCACGGTTTCGCAGCGGTTTCAAACACTCGATAGCCATCCATCGCACAAAGATGCGTCGATGCGCGAGCGCCGACGGAATCTCGAGCACGATTGCGCTGTCGACGACGCCGTCGTGGGGCTGCTTGAACGGCAACTGGCCCGGCTCGATCGTCGACTTTGTGAGGAGCGCGGTGAGTTCTTGGAACGAGGCGTGGAGCGTGGTCGAGGCCCGGAATGGCGTTGTCGCCGCGTCGTTGTTGGCAGGCGGGCCTTGAAAGAGGCGAACACTAGGTGACTCGCGTACGCATGGCCAGAGCTTGGCGTCGTAGAACGCCGTCTGCGCATCACAGAGCTGACGGACGTTGGTTTCGGCGAGCGACTCCAAGTACTTGGTCTCTTGTGCCGAGAGCGCTTCGTAGCGAAATTTGGAGCTCGAGAGCGTCGTGCGCGGGCTATTGGCCGAGGACGGCGGCGTCGTGTTGGCCATGGGAAGAAATAAAAGATGTGGGAATTTGGTCGGAAAAGAAGCGATGGGTCCGGTGCTCACTTCGTGGAGTTGGACACGGTGCGTGATGAGGCCAGTGAAGGATATGTAGGCGTCGTCATCTGTTGCCTTGGCTCCTCCTGAAGTTGCCAGTGACTGATTCTGAAGAAGGCATGGACGACAGGCGCACAAAAACGTGAAGTCCCCATCCGTTGAGGCAAGTAGCACAGTGGGACGTCCACGCTGCGGTCGAAGCAGCCTCAAGCTACATCGCCGGCGATGCTTTCTTTTTTGTAGCCAAACTGCTCTGTACATGCTTTGCGTGCAGGCCACGCGCCTCACCCTATCGGTCGGCGAAATGCCTGCGAGTTCAAGCTTGCGCGTTGCGTGTCTTTGACGTTGACCCGATTACTATCACGAACGCAGAGTGCCATTCTCATGCAACAGGAAACGGTCCAACGCTACCACAGCAGCGAAATACGACGCCTGTGCGAAGGCAGCGGCGCTTGCTTTGCCATACAGGCGGTCGCCCTTCTACTAAACTTGGTACAGGACAGAATACCCAGCTCATTTCGGGGCGTGTTGACATCAAAACGCGTGCGCACGTCACGACGCTGGTTCAGGAACTCAACGAAGAGCGCGACTGTCCTCGCTCTCAGTAGCAATCACTACCCACTAGTATCTGCATGGCTAGAATCATACCTGCATGCTCTATACCGCCGCGCCATGTTGGTGCCACCGAGCGCGTTGCACTGCAGGCGCTGCGTCACGCTCTGCGGTTGAATATTTGAAGGACGACCGCGCCAGCAACCGCTCAACGTCCTCAAGTAAGTGACGACGACGAGCTACAACGTGCGTTTGTTGTCCGACGACTATTTCACACGTCCCTATCTGGAATGTACGTGGAGCCGGTGACACCTTCATACATATGTATATACATTCTAGTAGTTTCTATTAGCCTCCTTCGCGGTGCATAATGAATTATTTCGAGATGGGCAAGGGTCCGAGCCAGTCAACGTCCAGCTCGGGCACGTCGGGCACCCACGCCGGGTGTATCCACTGTTGGAGCTGCTGCCGCGTTACGTTGGGACTGTACTGACGACACGGCGACGCCATCCCGACATCGTACCCGCTCGGACCGGACGACGGGTACGGACTCCGAAAGCAGCCGCCCGTCGAGGCCCCCCAGCACGCATGGCACTTGCGACCTTTCGAGGCGTCCACCGTACACTGGCGGCAAAACGTCTATCATAGCGTTACATAAGTCACATGGGTGAGCAGCATAATCGCATCCTACGTGGCAGCACGACGTGCATTGAAAGAGGCGGCGTTTCAATGAAAACGAGTTCTGGAAGCGCTTGTGGCAGCGACCGCACTCGCTTTGGTTGTCACCATACATCTACACCCGAGCGTCAAACCCAAAGGCCGACATATCCCAACGTCAAAATCAACTGTGTACCGCAAAGTCACCGCATATCGACATCTTGGCGCGGCGGAGGTTGGCCACGGCAGCGTGCAGCGACTGAAGCCGTGCGACGCGATTGAGCATGAAGCGCTTGGAGAGCCATTGCGGCCCGCGCCCTTGGAGGTCCAAGCTGAGGAAAAGCTGGACGCGGCACTGGCCCGGCGTGCCCGTTTCTGATACAATAAGACTACATACCACTCAGTTTCTAACGTCAACATGGAAGGACGTACCCGGAGTTCGCGATGGACGCCCGCACAACGTTGAGCGTCGCTTCGTTGTCGGGGCATGGCGCAAATGGCACCGAGTGCTGCGAAATGACATACGCGTGGCGTCCGGTTGGCAAGACGACGTCGTCGTGGGCCTCCAAGACGCAGAGATCGCGGTTCCGCATCGGCGACGGACACGCAAAGGCGAGCCAGCGCACAAAGATGCGCTCGTCGGCGGCGACCGCATGCAAAATGTTGCTGTCCAAAACATCTTGGTACATGTGCTGGCCAATGTTGGCGCGCATTTCTTCCGTGGTCACAAGCGACACAAACGCTTTGAGTTCGTCCATGGACGCGTCGACGACCGTTGCGGCTTGGTACGTACTGCCGCTTTGGTCACGAAAAAGATGCAAGCCCGGCGTGGCTTTGACACACACCCACGGTTCGTCGCGACTGCGGCGCAAGAGGCGGTCGAGATTCTCGTGGGCAACGTCCTTGAGCGTCCGTGGGTCGTCGTCGTCGCCGAGGAGCGTCGTCGAGTGTAGCTTGTGCATGCGTGCCATGAGTCTCAAAACCAAAAATGACGACCTCGATTTCTGTGCATACGATAGATATGTACGCAGGGACGTACGGAGCGGTTCAAGCAGTGCGCCAGCCGGTCTGACGCCACGCGAGCCGGCCGTGTACACTGAGATTCGTTGATCGTTCCAAGTTGCACTTGCTCATCCGACGCGCAATGCAGCTACGGATCCCGCTTTCCACACGCCAGAGAGAGTCCATTTACAGCCGAGTTGCATGAGCGACAGTGGACCTTGTCACTCGTACCTCGTCGTCCGTAGGATATCGAAATGTCGTACAGGAATCCACTGCAGTGCTTTTACACGCCGTGCAATTCGCGTGCGCGGGAAGCTGGGACCGAGAGGCTGTGATCGACGGCTTCAAGGAACGGTGGCTCAAAAACGCGCCACTTGGGTATCCGCTGCACCTGGGTGCGCCGTTGATTGCGATCTAAGAAGCGCCAAAGCTCCTCGTCACAGAGCGGGATGGGCGAATTGCGCGCAGTTTCGATGGCCATTATTGGTCGATGGCAGTAGTACGCCTCGCGTCACTGGAAGACTCCCTGACCAAGTGCGACATTCGCGATGGTAGCATCACTACAGTGTAGAGCTTTCATGGTGCGTGCTGTGTGAATGCAAACACGACTCGTGTTCAAGAACTGTTAAGTCCGACAGTACGTGTTTCCGAAAGCTGTCGAGAGACTCGGCATCGCGCGGTCCAAGCCGCGATGCTCCGCCTTTTCCTGCCCACACGACCACTCGACGAACAATCGAACGCACGAGCGAATTAACGAACGAGCTGCTGTCATCGGTTCGTAGTATGGTATAGTAGAGAGCGGCACAACAATGCAGCTGCGGCAATGCAGCGCGAACGATGCGTTCGTACCGCGGCGTCGACGCGCTTCAGAAAACGTCTCGAAGGTATTAACCACATTTTTTATTACTTCAAGTAGCAGAACGGGACTAGTTCTGTAGACAGGGACGGCACGATGGCAGGGAGGACAATATTGTAGCGACTAGACGATAAGGCGAAGCACGTGGGCCGAGTCGACCTCGAGCATCGGCAAAAGCGCGCTGCCTTGGTGCGGTGACGCCAGCTCCCCGGGCGCGAGCCAATCAAACTGCAGCGCTTCGAGCGCGACATCAGGCGTGGAGAGCTCGCCGACGCGTTGCTTGCGAGGCTCGTCCAGCAGCTGCAAGAGCGTCGACGACGACGTGCACGGGTGGTACACGGGCATGTGTCCGGTCGTGTTTGCGCCCACGATGCTGCCATCGTCGTCATCCGGGAAATCGGCAAACAAGGAGTGTTTTGCATACGTCACATCGGCACTGCGGCACGGACTCCGCAGCGAACTCTCGACCGTGGTGCCCACGCACGCGTAGCAGACACGACCTTTTGTCGGCGACGGCGTGGCGCACTTGGCGCAAAAGACCTGCCACAATACCAAGTCAAACCATGATGGTCATGATGGGGTGCCTACCTCGCCGCAGAGCTGACAGTGGTGTTTTCGCCGCCACTTGGGAAACGTATGAAATGCTTTGCCACAGCCGCCACAGTGCGACCGCGCGTCCACCGGTACCATGGGCTAGCATAACAGCAACGGCAAAGTCACACCAGAGTGTAGGTCTTTCAAACGTACAATGTAGGTCCCTTCGAGCGTCTCGCCCAGGCGAAGATCCTCGAGCGACGCGTGCAGCGACTGGAGACGCGCGACGCGCTGCCGCACGACAACCTTGTGCAGCCAGGACGGCACGCGACCTTTCAGGTCCATTTGTGTATGCGTATGGACGTCAAGGATGCCAGGTGTGTCGGTTTCCATGATGATGGTGCTATTGATAATGCTGAGTCTCCGCCGTGAGGACGACGTGTGAACGTACCCCGAGTTGTAGATTGAGCCGCGAACGAGGTTGTATGCGCTCTTGAGGTCCGGGCAGCTCGACAACCGGATCGAGTGCTGCGAAATCAAGAACGCCCGCTTCCCGTTGCGAAGGAGCGCTTCGTGGTGGACTTCGAGGACGCAGAAATCGCGGCGGCGCAATGGCGGCGGGCACTCGGTGGCCATCCAGCGCACAAACATGCGCTGCTGCTGCGGCGTCGGTGTCGGAATTTCGTGCAAAATGGCCATGTCCAGCAACTCGTACGCGTACTTGTGGACGGCGTTGGTCATTTGTTCGCTTGTGACGTTGCAAACAATGTGCGTGAGCTCCCGAAACGTGGCTTGGACCGTCGTTGTAGCGCGGAACGGGATAATGTTGGGCTCGGACGGCGGTGCGAGCCCTTGGTAGAGGCGCAAGTTGCGCGACGCTTTGATGCACGGGAACGCCTTTGCGTCCAGGAACGACTCGGCGAGCGTCACGAGCTTGGCCATGTTGTGCTGCCCAAGGCCCTCGAGGTACCGCAGCTCGATGGCCGAGAGCGGGTCGCTCCGGAAAAAGTCGGGCGGCAGCGGAAAGTCTTCGAGGTTGTCATGCCGTGACGGAAGCTCGCCCATGCTCCAATTGTGTACTGTAGAAATGCCCGATGCCGAGCGCGCATTGGCAGAGACAGGCAGTGCAGGCGCACTGGCCACTCGAGTCGCTACTTGGGAGGAAGATGTCGGCGTGGTGCCAGCTGGCGACCGCCGCACGCTGCTTGCACGGTGGTGCAATGTGCACCATTGGTAATCACAAACGACGCATGAGATGCACAAAACGAGCTTTGTATCGAGGGCTGAGCGACCGAGGCTGTGGCGCCAGCACACATCGCCGTCTCGCACGTCCGCTGCACAGAAAAGCCCGAGCTGTCTCGGTGTGTATCGCGAGACGTGTGGATCAAAAAGAAGCCAACGTCGCAGACCCAAAAACCACGCGACTGTCCAATATGACTGCATAAACACGCAGCGGCTTGTTTTGGCGGCAAGCACGGTGCAGCCATGTGGTGCCTACGGACCACTCATTCTCGCAAGCTCCTTTGCGCTACTCTAACATCCATCGACATTTGCTCCCAATACACGCATATACGACTCGCGTGCTCGTTCCCTACTGCGAGAAGCGGCGCACGAGCCCGTTCGCATCGCTGTCGTTTCGCGAGCTTCCATCACCTCGATCCTGGTGGTGACTTGAGGTTCAAGACAGCACAGAGTGGCCTACGCACCGAGGCGCGGCGAGGATGATTCGAGTGCTGGACCACATGTTGCGAATAACAAGGTTACCAAAAAGCAAAATGCGGAACATCCGTTTTGGGTGTGGCCACCAAAATTGGAGTTTCTGCGGCTGTCGGACGGTCCAGAACGGCCTGTCGCGGTCCAAGCTCGTGGTCAATACGTGAGCTTGCAAGTGAAAAAGCATGCCGAGGCTTGTAGCCTCTTTTGCCCGACTATTTTGCTCCATGTTGACGCATCCGTTCGCGACGACGTACTAGGTGCGTTCGTTTGTCGGCCTTCGAACTACCGAACGAGCAGTTGCCAATGCAAATCTCGTCATCACCGGTCGTGCCGCACGAGCCAAGGGCTCACCTGCTGCTTGGACGACGTGTCGCGTCGAGGAAGTGGTCAACTATCATACTCGGGTCTACAGAAGGAAAAGGTCGATCGAGTTTGGGAAATGTGTCAACCCTGGACGTTGCACAGAGTTGTAGCTAGAGGCTACGAGTAATCGTTGCTTCGCTTCCAAGTACCACGTGTTACCACGGTCTCTCCCGTCGTGAGCTCCCGCCGGGACGTCATGCGATGGAGGTCAAACCGCCGACAACGCTACCCACTCGGTGCAGCCACGTTGAGCATGCCACGCTGACACTCAAGTCATCACGGACGACGACAACTTTGATTTGGATTTACGACACTTTGTACATGAAACAGCTAGCTACCAGACCTTGTACGATCGCGAGCGGTCACGGCGCGACTCGGGCCGGTGGCCAAAGCTGCGCTCGAGCGCTGCCTGCTGCAGCTGTGCCGAAATATCGATCGTCGCCGTCGGGTCGTAGCAGTCCCAGTCGCCCGCGAGCAGCTTCGAGACAGGGTCGTCACAAAGGTCTTGGAGCGTCGACGTCGTCTTCTCCGACTGCATGTCGCGAACCGGCACGTCGCCGCCCGACGACAGCCGCAGCGACTGCCACGCGGCCAAGAGCGGATCGTCGGTCTCCATTGGCGGTGCGTGGCTCTGCATGCACGACGGGGAGTACTGCGGACGGCGTGGGCCGTGGTCATGAGCGGGGCTCACAAAGCCCGCAGCATTTGGGCTACAGCCAAAGACGGGGCTCTGCGCGTCCGAGAAGCGGTCGCAAATTGCATTGGAGCACGTGACGCAGACGCGCTGGGTGGACGCATGCATCGACTTCCACGTGCCCGTGCACTTGGAGCAAAAGATCTAGACAACTTGTCAGCGCTCGCCTCTTTTTATAATGTACCTCGCCGCACGTCGAGCAGTGGTGCTTGTGGCGAAATGCGTGGAAGCGCTTGGAACAGTAGTTGCAATGACTGCGCTCGCTCGACGGAACGTGCACCTAGTCAAGGTCTAAGCGACGATCATCTATGCTACACTAGTACGTACGGCGGGGGTTGCTTGGTGGCGCGGTGAAAAATGCATTGTGGCCGAGAGACTGCGTTCTTTCTTGGTGCGCCGTGATACAATTGTCGACTGAAGGTCCACGATGTGGCTCACGCGGCGCTTCATGAGCTTCTTGTATACGAACGACGGCAAGTTGCCCTTCAGATCCATCTCGACGTGGCTGTGGGCGTACAGCACGCCGGCTTCGTTGGACTCGGCAAAGAGCATGCTACGGACCAATCAGACGCTTAGATACGACCCATCTGTGTAGGGACATGTTGGTTTACCCCGAGTTGGCGATCGCCCCACGCACGAGCTGGAAAGCACTTTTCAGGTCGGGACAACACGGCAGCCGCACCGAGTGCTGCGCGACCACCCACGCGCGCTGGCCGGACGCGAGTCGGACTTGATCTTGTACCTACCGTGGCGCTGAGACGACGACGCTCGAAAGGTAAAAACGACGTACTTCGAGGACGCAAAAGTCGCGGTTCTGGAGCGGAGTCGGACAAGCGATCGCGACCCAGCGCACAAGCACATGGCGGTGCGGTGCGTCGGGCGTCGGCGACTGGAGGCGGTAGAGCACCTTCATGTCCATGACGTCGTCCGCACGCACCCGGAGCGACTGCGCCATCGCCTCGGTCGAGACGTTGGCGACGACGTCGCGGACCTCGTCGAGACTCGCGGCCATCTTGGCCGACGACCGGAACGGCACAATGTGCGGTTCACTCGGGCGCGGCTTGCCCTGGAAGAGGTGGGCACCATGGACGTCGCCGAGAGAGCTCCACGCGGTCGCGTCGTGGCATTGGAGCGCATTGAGCGTCGCCTCGAGCGTGTGCCGCGCAAGCGACTCGAGGTACTCGAGGTCCGCGGCCATGAGCGGAAGGCAGTCGAAAAAGCCGTACGGCAGTAAAAAGTCGCCGGGTTGGTGGCGGGCGTCGCTGGGCATGCTTGGTATTCGATCCTTCAAGAATGAAAATGATCCCATGCGCGCGCAGCGGGCCATTACACCCTGTTGGACGCGCGTGCAACCTAGGTTATGCGAGGTTGCCTTTCCAGCACCCGTAGAAAGGCCGTCTTGCGGTTTCGAATCTGATCGGCCGTTATGCATCAAGAGATGTCTGAAGCAGCAACGGATGGCCAGAAGCGGTTTGCTAGACAGTCGATACTGCGTACTACACTTGGACAGTATGCGGTGCCACAGGTACGTACGTAGTTGCTTTCCATACCTATACCGCAGCAGCCTCACAGCCGGGTCGTTGGTGGCACAGACAAGGCCGTCGGTTCAGTGCAGTGTGCCAACAGAGACTGGTTGTCATTTAGTTGCTATAAACACGCTCTGTTGCATATAGATGACGCTACGAGCATGGCCGTTGCGGGCAACAACCGTCCCCGAGACCAGTGCTTTGCATAGCATCGCGTCGCTGTACTACTGCGCGAGTCGCCTAACGCTGACCATAGTGTGCTTCTTCCGTCGTCGCCAGACTCATCGCCACGAGTCACATCAACTCGGCCCCGTAACAGCCTACGTATTGCGGTGGACGCTAGGCGGGTGGCGGAATCATCAGCGAACGCCGTTGAATCCAACATCTATCGCCTCATCGGAGTGGTTTCTGGTCCCATGAACTGCAACTCACGCCGTCTCAGAGCAACAACAACGTCGTGGAATCCATGGCAGACGACTCATCCACCCCCGCGATTGACGCACGCTCAAAGCGCCAGCGACGGGTAACCGCTCGGGTGAGAACCGTAGGCGGTTTTATCCGTACCCTAAGGGCATTCAAAACAGAGTAAAAACCTGCGTGATGAATTTACAACGCAGTGCTACTCGCGTCGACGCGTGCGGACGTGGCGGCGCATTCGATTCGACGTCGCATTCTGTGAGCAGCACCTTTCGCAGAACCTTTCGCAGCGAACCACTCCGTTCGGCAGGCTGCGAATCCTCCTCCTGAGACTGGCGTCTGTCACGCTGCAATCCCGGCGTCTGAGAGCCACACGCTGGGCTGCACGTCATTTTGTGTGGTATCACTGGAGATCAGACGAGAATCGACCCAGCAGTGCACAGCAACAGTTGCTCCTCTGGAATGCCCCTTGAAAACCGCCCAGATCAGCCCTTTTCATGGGCCCAGGGTCCGTCTCGTCCGACGGGTTCGTGAGAGGATAATGGTTGATGCCCCATTGCCATAGATAGCCTCAAGTGGCCTGCATTTTAGCGATCTGTAGCGATGCTACGACAGTCGTCGCTGTGATCCGGTTGGTGCTTGGGCTGCTTGGGGAGCTTCCGCACGTTAAACGCAATGTATCCTCGTGGCGTTTAACGCAGCTCTCCTGCGTTTAACGTATCGGTAAAAGGTTGCACGCAAAACGGCAACTTCAAGTGTCCGGATACGAGGTGCACTTTCCAACACAATGGCGGTCGTCTACGAAGTCGTCGTGACGTGCGAGCCCGCGGTGGCGGACCGCTTGGCCGAGTACATGACGGAGCGCCACTTGCCGCAGATCCTCGCGACGGGCTGCTTTTCGTCCATTGCGTTTGAGCAGAGCACGCTCCACAGCTACCGCACGCGGTACCTCGCCGACTCGCAGCTCGACCTCGACCGGTACTTTGCCGAGCACACGGCGGCACTGCGCGACGACTTTGCCAAGCATTTTCCATCCGGCATCACGTCCGTCGAGCGCGTCAACTGGAACGTTCTGCGCACGTACCGCCGCGAGACCGAGTCCGCCAAGTGACGTGATACGCTCGCTCTATCCGTGCCCCCATGATCCTCCCTAGGGGTTTGCTTCTTAAGCCAAAGGACGGAATAGAGCGCTTTATTGTTTTCTCGCGATTAAGAGCTCTACCACCGCGCTAGGACCACCACGTTCTTTTTCGTAGCAACGTGCCGAGACCTCCGTCAGGACTCGCTTGTAAGGTGCACCACCATCCCGGTTGCTGCAGCAGGCTCTACTGCATCTCCACCATTACTCTTGGCCAAGGAAATTTGGCCCGTGCTGCGGCAACGAGCCAACGTTTGGAGTAGCGCCGACGTCGCAGGCAGCTACATCAACGTTCAAAACCAAACACGTTGTTCGCGGTAGTACGTGGGATTACATGATGACAACACAGAGAAAGAGTAATTCGGCGCCTACTTGAGGCCCGTGCCGTAGTTGCCGGCCTTGCCCATCGAGATGATGACGCCGCCTTTGCCGCTGACCCAGTCGTACGAGCCAGTCCAGAGCATCGCGCCCTTGTAATTTGCGCCGGCGGCCGCCGCGGCTTCAAGCTGCTTGGGGGATGGCGCGTCACCATAGTCGCCGCAAATCCCCGACCCCGTGCCCTTTCCGACGCACTGGCCAAGGAGAAGCTTGTCCTTCCCGATCGACGTCGCCCACGTCGTCGGCACGGCCGCAAGCCACGCGTCCATCGTTGCCTACATCCTCTTGGTTGAGACGCGAAAGAGGCGCAGCTGCGTACACTCATGGCATTGTACATCATGTTGTTGACTTCGTCGACGTACTGGAGGATCTTGGGCTCAAAGCACCGGCTGTAGTCGCCGCCGGCATCGCTGCACGACTTGTCGAACGCTGTCGGGAGCTCGTCCCACGTCACAATGTACTTCGGTTCGCCACTGGCGAGCGGAAGCCCGTTGAGCGCCTTGCGCAGCGCGCTGAGGTACCCAATGACGTTCGGGCCGGCGTTCGTCTTCCAGTCGCCTTTGGCGCCCAAGTTGCCGCTCTCGTCATCAATGTCGACGCCGTCAAACCCAAACCTAGGTAGGACAAATAAGAAAGGGACAATATTGTCATATACAACAAACAAACACCTACTTTTGCACCAAGGACGCGGCGGTGCTGGCAAACTTGGCGTACGCTGCGGGCGTGTTGACCGTCAGAAAATTCGCACGGACGCTGGCGCCGCCAATGCTCGCATATTGCTTGATGCACTTGCTAGTCGCACACTATTGAAGCCATGGATAGAGTAGATAACGGCGTACTTTTTCATGGCAGCGATGCACGCCTTGAGCGTCGCGTCGTTGCCTTGGAACGTCTGGTCGACCGACCCGTCCGTGCCGATGGTCGCAAAGCCCCAGTAGACATGCGTGACGTACTGCGCTGCTTCGCTCTTGACAAACTACAAGAGCTCGTTGGCATGCCAGCGAAGCGAGGGAGTGTGTACGTCGAGGCAGCCGTCGGTCTGCGACTCCCAAAAGATCGCAAACGACTTGCCGTTCTTCGTGCTGGGGCACGTCTTGCAGCTCTTGCCGTCAAGGTAGCTGCCGCGCGACTTGCACGTCGATGGCACGGT